CTTTATTGAGTATTTGTTGAGGAGTGGAGGGGGTGTGGGGTGCCCCTGAAAACGACATTAAATTTCTGCACGAAGAACATCAACGGTGCACTTAGTGCACTGCCAATGAATGGCTACTTATCTCTGTCCTGACTGCCAGGGAGGTTTTCCTACTCACGCGACACTGGTTGCATCATCTACCAATTCCACCTCCCAGTTCACTGGATTATATTGCATGATCTGCATAATTGAAGTTCTTTTTTAAATATAGTTAACGGAGGCTATTTATACTTGAAAACATACTTTGGTCTAGAATGATTATAACCCATATTTATTATTGAAGTAAAAAAAATACAACTCGGGATGAAACGATCCACCCCCACTCCCTGGTGAGTTGATGAATCGTCGTGATTCCGAGGCGACAGTTCAATTCAAGAATCTATGATTCCATTGCTCTGAGATGTATTTAAAGATGTCGTGAAGCTGCCCCCACGCTTACCCCCCCCACTTTCCCCCACCCATTCCCACCCCCGCCCCCCAGCTCACCCCCTCCCGCAACCCCCGGCCACTAGCAAAACAAGTCGTGTGGAAAGGGTGAGGGGGGTGGGGCGAAACATAGAGGCGTGGCCTAAAAAAGGAAAGTTACGGAGCTAAAATAGGAAAGAGACAGTGGGGGGGGGGGGGTAATCCAGAAGGAATAATGTCTAAGGAGTCAGTGTGAGTACGGCCTAAAGAGGAAGAGGCAGGGGGCCTAGAAACTTACGAACCTCCCTGTTTGAAATTCGGGTAGTAAGCGTCGAGTAAAACACGCGTGGCAGGCAGCACCATTTTAGTGCTGCAGATGAAGCCACAGGGAAACTCGTCTATTGTATTGACATTGCAGTGAGTGATGGCACCTCCAGTAGCTGCAAGGGTAATGTGGAACCCATGAAGTGCATGCAAATGAATTCCACTCGTATTTTATAATGTATTGTATAGTCGTATAATTCCCATGAGTGTACCGTAATATCCGTCGTCGTACTATACCCATTATATATATAGTACTTGTCCATACACTCTGGATTTTTCGGCCAGTTGCATGTGTGAGCATGTCAACGGCGATATTGATCATTCTATATTAAAGCAGTAGCAGTAAAACAGTGTAAGGCAGTGGTCTCAACCCGTGAGGGCACAGGCAGCATTGATACCGTGCAGGGGAAAAAAAAGAATCTTGAATGCATAGGGGACGTTAAGCACCACGTTGTTGCGACGTAACACACGAATGCACAAAGTGAAACATGCCTTAACAACAACTGCGTTGGTAAGACGTTTGAGAAGTACTGGCATACGAGCAAGGGCATTCATTTTTTTCAATTGCTATCTATATTGTTTAATTGCAGAACATTGCAGGGAAACGTTGCATGCAACATAGTTTACGAGTACGTACGATTTTGTTGCAATTGAAAAAAAAAAACATGCTTACGAATAATGCAAATGAAAGCTATGCGCTGAGCCTAATCTGTCAGAAGTATGATTCTTTATTCGGGCAAGGGTAAGAACTGTATCCCTCACACATAATCAGAGTTCCATTGAGACTACTAATGTGTAATCAATGTCAATCCAATGGCCAGATCGCCTCGTATTAAGAACACGCAATCGGTCTTTAATCCGGAGGTCACGTTGGGCCATTGTTACACCGTGCTTTCTTGACCTAAACGCTACCACCGGGTCAATTGATTGAGCCATTCAATAAGCGAATAAATATGTGGCTGGTGGCCCCCGAAGCTAGCATATTCACAGAGAATGACTGCACAGTTGAGAGTACTGTATTTTTTATAAATTATCAAATGAAACAGGAAGTGGGAAAAATGCAGGTTGGCTGATGCAAATAATTACAGTAATAATGTCGAATATGGTACTCTATTTTTACAATTGCAGGTTGTGCTCATTTACATACAAAGTGCAGTGACGTACACCAAAAAGAGCACGGTGAAAAATCGTCTTGACTAGTCTTCACTTTTACCAGATCATTTACCTCTAAACTACAACGAGACATTTCACTGCAAAAAAATATATCTCAAATGCAGTATCTGGACATTTAAGTCTTGCTCTCCAAAATAAATGTACGTCAATTGCTGCAACCCATATTAAACATTCAACCCATTTGTCTGTGAATGCTGTGGCAATAACTCGGTAAACAATGGAACGTTGGGCAAACATTAGCCTCATGGTTCCAGCCACATGCCAATGGAACGTTGGACCCAAAGTTAGCACGCTTCCCCGGGTTGCTGTGCATTCATCACAAAAACATGCAATCTGAAATGACGTATATTATGTGAATACATGGACTTCGCATGAGCGCAACAGTATATGACATAGTCTGTGCCAAATGTGTGTTTGAAGCCTCTTTATTCAGACTTTGAAGTGATGGTTAATGCCCGTCAGTGGCATTCTATGGACGTCACTGACGTTACGCCCACACGTGTAACGCGTCAGTGCAGCAGTGGCGTCACTAGAGTGTGCTAGCGACAGAGGAGTGCCTGGCTGTGAGTTTAAAGTCAAAAAATGTATATGTAATAAATAAATAAAACGTGTGTCGTTGGCCAACTACCTAAACCTAGCTAGTTGGTGTGTATTGATCACAAATATTGGCCTGAAAAGCCAATAGACCACAAACGTGTTTGTGTTGACAGAGCAGAAGCAGAGTTCTGCTTATACAATATTTGCTTTTATCAAAAAGATTAAATCTACGGTATTTTTTGTGGGTTTCATTTTACTTTAACCGTACACTAAAATAACAAAATGGAATATACTGCATTGGCCATGCCTATTCTTTCACTTGTTGGTATTGTATTGTCTGGACTTAGAGACAATTTAACATAGAGAAAACATTCTGACAGTGAATAGCATTGGTTGGATGACTCGGTGTTTTTATTTCAAAGATGCACGCATTACAATGAATGTTCTCGTTAATTATTCTGTTTCCAGTTGTAATAAAATATGTGCTCAATATCACTCCGCAATGTGGACCGCATGCAAAATAATCGCGTGTATTAAAACGTATCCAGAGAGGCATTTATTAAAACATAAAACAAGGAATAGCTTTGATGTGACTGACCAGTAATTTTAACAGGTGGATGCACCAGAACTAATGTTTATCAAGTTGGACAGCTAGATACTGTAATGTACACGTTAAAACATGCCAGTGTTATCTTCGCAAATATAGTGTGCTTCAATTTGAGATATACATAATCTGAAACATGTAATAAAACATTGTTAATAACTATTTCTTTTGGTCCTGATTCGGCTTGCAGGCATTAACCTAATTATTCATAGATTATTTAGAAAACCTAAACGATTACATTTTTGTTGTTGTGCTTAAACAAATTGAATAAGGTATTACCCCTACCGACAGGAACAAATAGCCATTGCATGTGTACGGTGTTCTGCGAAGGGACACCAGCAACGCATACATCCACACTTGCCGAGGTAACCATTGCCGGGACACGTGCAGTGACTCTCTACATAACAGCTAAGCGGGGGGTGAGAGAGAGCGAGCGAGCGAGCAACCAGATTAAATCATCTTGCATAAGGGAGTCTAACGCAGCCGCGTGCGTCCCAATGCGTGAAAGAACCTGACCAATAGTTGCAGAACACCAGTGTCAATCGCTGACGCCCCAATGTAAATCCTAAAAAAAAAAAGAAACTGCCTGCAGTTACCGCTGGGAACAGGACCTGTTATCCGTTTAACCGCACGCGTCTTCGTGGAGCTATTATCATTATTGTTCTCCTAGGGACGCTGTCGCACAGCCTCTACGGTTGTATTCAAGCAAAAAAACACACGCAATTTAAAGATTTGTTTCGAGTGGATTGCTCAGCTGAGCTTTGATTTAAAACATGCATATGGAATACCGGCACCCGCGGTTCAGTGGATGAATTGTTTATTCGTTGCATGATAACGCAGTGGGCGTTCTGCGGGTGTTAATATAAACGCGTAAAATGTGACTTTGTGCCTCGCTGGATGTGGAGACTAATAAAAAAAAGAGATAATCAAACAAGCATCCATGAATACGATTATGTAATGCGACTGCTACACACGTCCCTGGTAAGCATATCTAATTTCACTTGCGAAATCCGCTACGTCGTCGGTATAATTGACAAATCTACAGAGCATTCATATCATGCTGGCTTGCGAGCACAGACAGCACTGTCGGCTGCACGTGATTTATAAAACATAACCCCGGATTCACTGTTCGTCGGTTGATATTTTTTTAATACTTTTATTTCAGTGCGGATTATGGAGCGGTCACCAAAGTTTGATTCCTGGCCACGGCGTGCATGATATGAAGTCGGTGGTGATATCTGAACCGGCTTGATCTCCCCACCCATCCCCAAGAAATAACAGTTTCAGATACTTTCATGAATTGGCTCTTTGTAACTGCTGGAATTTTACAATGCCCACTTAAATATATAAACGCCTTACAAATGTCGCTATATTTCACTGGAGTGGCGTGGTGGCACAGTTGGTTCGTCCGCGTTGTATTCAATTCGATTCATAGGACCACCCTCCCCAAATCAACCCGCACTGGCCACTGATCAGCGGGGTAAAGTATAGCAAGTCGTAAAATAATCAACACGACCGACAGACACAATGTGGTGAAGCCTTATCCAGCAGTGGATCGACGTTGGTGAAATTAAAATTTTCTTAAAAAATTCCAGCGGAGCCAATGGCGACAAAAGCGGTGATGCATCTAACTGCACAACAGCGCAACACGGCGAGGGGAGGTGATTTTAGTGAAAACAATATCAGTTAAAATATCGAAAGTTTGGCATCCAATGACAAATATCCCCCCGTGTGGCCTTGTCAGACTGTTGGGGCAATTGCTGTTAGCGACACTACTCTGAGTCTCTCACGCCGCTGACGTTAGAGCCGCGAGCGAGACTCCTGGAGCTCGGGTCAATCCGGGTTCGTAGCGCAGTGCGATACAACCATGACAGCTACCGCTTGTCCGCCACTCGTCTCACCACCACACCATGCTTACCGTTCAGGAGCAGCAGCAGCAGTACGGGCAGATGGATTCGCAGCAACGCGGCACCACATTGCGCGGCGCCCGGAGCGACTCCGGGAACGATCATCACGGCGCTCCTAAGTGTGCCTGCCGCTGCCTCTCAGGCGGCGAAGAAGTGGACCGCAGGAAAATCTCTTCTCGCCAGCACCGCCACCGGTCCTTGCCTCTCTCCTCGCCTCCTCCACCAAACAGCACCACCAGCACCAGCACCACCACTCCTTGCCGCTGCTTCTCGGAGTCCACGCGCAGCGTACATCCGAAGCGGCTCGAACTTGAAAAGAAAACTGGGCAAGGCGCGCTTCTCTTCTCGCAACGCGCAATAGCGGCAGAGTTGCGTCCCGCCGGATGAGAAACGAGTGTGGCAAGAGCTGTGCTGCTGAAGAAGCGACGCCCCGTATCTCTATCTCGCCGCGTCTTGTTGATCCATTGTAAAAGCCCGCCTCTGCTGCGAGTCTGTGCGAGCCATGGGCTGCATCAATTGTTTATTGGTATTTAAGGAGCGAGCGACCTCGATCCGTCATTACAGTACATGCAATCTGAACAGCACTTCTCTTCTCGCCGAGCTGACCGCCGCCGCTGCCTTCTCTCGTTTGCAGCTGATCGCTGCGTAGTTCGCGCTTCTGGACTTTCAATTCGCCAAAAATCCACTTCCTCCCCCTTCGCCCAAACCCCGAGAGCCCCTCGACAGAGATCCCAGCAGCGATCTCGTGAACGGCAGTGAGCCTTATCTTCCTTCCTCCGTTAAAGCGACGCTGTTTGTGGCCGAGGGCTTGCTTTGGCTTGTCCCCGGGTTTGGGATCTCGGAGCGGGAGAAGAGTGTGGTGGGGTGGGTGGGATGTAGAGGCGGGGGGGGGCAAGGAGGTGGGGGCGAGGTTGGGTTTTGCTCCGTGTGTGGATAGAGGAGCGGTGGCGGTGACGGCGGCGGCTTGGGGCGTGCGGGGTGGTTGTGGTGGCGGGGATGATGGGGGTGCAGTGTGGCGTTGGAATGAAAAGCGGAGAGGGAAGGCTGACGGGAGGAAAGGAGGAGTCAAGTGGGATGGGTAGGGGACGAGCGAGCGAGCGAGCAACAGCAGCAGCAGCAACAGCAGCAGGAGGAGGTATCTTGCATTCAAATACCAGGGATTCGACTTGTACACGCAGCTTATAACGCCACGTCGCGCAGTATTCAGTGCGCATTTCGTCTGGTTATTAGCTTTCGGCCAGAGGGGGCTGCTACAATCCCTGTGACACTGCTTCACGTGGTTTTTTTTCCCCTCCGTCTTTTAATCATCACATTCCACGACCCCCTCCACCACCACCACCAACCACCGCCAATCCATCCCCCTCCTTTTGAATGTTTTTTTTTCTCTCTTCTCGAGCATTGCCCTGCGGTTGTTGTTGTTGTTGCTGCTCGTGCATTCTACCACCGCTCCGCACACAATGTCCAGCCACAGTAACCAAGCGGCCAGCCGTTGCGAATGTTTATTAAAACCATTTATTTTTCTGCCGTTAATTGGCAGCCCTGGCAAAATAATGAATGCGTCGGCGGTCGGTGAACCCGGGCTCGATTCCCCGCTCGCGGCCAGCACCAGCTCCTAGGTAGACTCGGCCTAAAATGAGTACCTGGGGCGGTGTGTAGTATCGCCAATGGGGCGTGGTTGCTGGCCACCCACCCTCTCGTGTGCCGTGCCGGCCTTAATAGGTGCTCGCGAACAGCACTTGCCTCAACAGTCTGTGAAGGCTATATGGAGGATCTTTGTATTTTTTGATTCGGTGGTTGGTGTCGTGAGCGGTTTTGTGCATGAACAACTCAGTGACGATGAGTTTGATTACTGGCCACGGCTAACATCAGTGGGGAGTGATGTCTGAACCAATCCTGGGTGCGACCCCCACTTCACAAACCCTCACTCACCAGAATGGTGAAGTATGGTCAAACAACCCCAATTGCTGACACAGCATGGTGAAGGCCTTCATCCAACAGAGGATTGACAAACAGCTGAAAGGAATGTCGCCTATTGTTTGTTTTTCGGACACAAGAAAGAATAATCAGCGAAACGACAAAACATGTACTCTGTTCGCGATGTTAGCGCTGAGCCAATTGTGGCAATTCCATATTCCTATGGCAGGGAACGACGTCATTTCCCACAATGTCCTATTGTGCACATTTTACCTACTACAGAAGGGTGATGGGCTGTCACCCCACCACCCCCCTCTTATCGGAATTTAAATGAAGGCTTTTGCCAGACACGTTTTTTTAAGGAGTCGAATGTTGTATGGTGTTCTGAAAGCATTGCACTTAAAATAGAAACACACTGGCCAAGTAATGTGGGGGGGGGGGGGGGGTAAGACAACAGAGGATTGACAACGCTAAAAAGGAGACAATCTGACCTTGCCATCCGAGCCAAAAGGTTCATCAAGCACGGTGTGACATCACGGCCAGAAAGCGTGGACTCCTATTTGCCAGCACCCGTCCACGGCTGAATGATATTTTTGATTTTAATTTCACCTCGCCACTCTCGTGGACACGTGTGAAATCAATAAGGCGACGGGGGCCCCTCTCGTGCCCAAAACCATTTCCCTGGCTATGGGAGGAGTCGTCTGTGATAAGAATAACACGGGATTGCAGCAAATCGCTCTTCCTCATGTTGTAGTGAGGGCGAGCAATTACTGCTTCACCTTGGGTATCCACAGATAATGGAAATAATCTCGGATCCTCAGGCCCTCATAGATTGTTTTTTCTAGATAAGGAGTTATCATATAATGTATAGGACGTAGAAAAAAAGGGAACGTGACGGAGAGAGAACGTTCATCGCGGAGATGGAGCGATGAAATAAGCTTTTGTCGTGCAGGAGCTGAGTGGCGTGTCCCAAGACTGCAACAACTGGGGGGGGGGGGGGGGAACCTTCATTCAGCAGTGGATATGTCATGGCTGAAGTTGAGAACGATGACGTGAACTCATAATGATACCTCATCAGCGTGCGTGCGCATGTCACGTTGAGTGTGCCGCAAAAATTATCACGCTAATGCGGGCAGCTGCAAACTGCAGGGCAATAGAGCATGTTGCAGACACCTGCTCTAGGACACCATTACATCTGAAAAGGGTTATTTTCTACATTAACACCGCACACAGCTGGTAATCCTTAGCCTTCATTTTGTCGCATTACAATGACAAATCCCGTACCTCATGGCTCAATAACACCCGTAACAAAAGTCGTTTGGCTATAATGCCGTAATGGTCTGCAGTAAATTAAAACGGAGCGGTGCTTCTGTATTAGGCTACTTAATTTATGCACATCTTTCAACTCGATGCGTGAGTGTGCAACACTTTTGTTTCCCCCTCGTAACTTCGCAGAAAACGTTGAAAGGGTTTACAATGCGAGAGAAAAATAAATGTTGATTACACTCATCACCACGTGAAGTGAGAGTGGAAATTGAAAACACCAGCTTGCGCTAATGGTCAATAAAGCACTGCAGCAGTTAACGCAGCTATTGGGTGCAACTTGCAAGGTTGATGACCCATTTGATTTGACAAGGTATTGCGGAATCGATCACTCTCATAAGCAGTGCATATGATGCCTTGAGGACATTTGATTGTGTTGACAGGGATCTTAAAACATGATGCCAAAAAATGTCAGAAAGTCAATACATTTGATTTTTTGAAATTCGCCCAGAGTTGGACTAATGCACTGGCTAGTCTAAACAAAGCTGAAGGGGTTTCGTTTTAAGTCGAGTTGGAGTGGATCTGCACGACTGAATCCATATAAAGCGACAAATATTCAAATGGAATGATGAAAAATGGAATTTAATTCACCGACATCGTTCTACAGTTTAAGTCATGCAGTAGAATGCCAGTTCAGTGCAAGTATTTGTTTAACAGGACCCGGGGGATCTTGAGCTCATATACCAATCATCACATGACAGGTTTCCTTTGCAAAAGAGCCATCATAATGCCGGCATGGATCCTCTTTTTTTTACATATATAGCTGCGCACAACATCTGCAATCGCGGACAGGAGCGGAGAGCGGTATTTATTATCTGTCATCTAATTTATCTGCAAATCCTTGGGGTTGCACAGATAAGCGGAAGAATAGTAGCTCCCCAGACTTCCACGGATTATAGTAATCATGATTAAAAGGATGATGGATAACAGGTGTTTCCCTGTCCAGTACTGTATACATCTTGGAGGTGAACGTTTACATTGTTTTCGAAGGTAAATAGGAACGCATCGGATTCCTCCGTTTAACGTGTTTCTGGATGTTAACGCGGTACCCCAAATGTTAATTGGGGTAGATTACCAGAATAATTAAGATATCGGTTGGGGGAAACATAACCGCGGGGTGGGGGGCCCCATCAGAGTCTGAATACCTCAGGCAGAGACAAGCTGGCGTGGAAACAAAATGGTAATTCAAGGACAAGAGGCAAGTTGGAGTGCATTTGAAAAGCTTAACATAATAATCATGATCAATCTCGTCATGTGTTCAGAGAATAAAGTCACGTAGGCAAAACATTAAAATTAAGAAAAGTAAAATAAAATAAAAATAAAAAATTCACGACGTTTCGGAGGCAACACAAGCTTCCGTATTCAGGTGGAACCGTCACAGCCACGACAGCTGTATCAAGTAAATGAGAGATTGTAAGAGCTTGATACAGCTGTCGTGGCTGTGACGGTTCCACCTGAAGACGGAAGCTTGTGTTGCCTCCGAAACGTCGTGATTTTTTATTTTGATTTTATTTTACTTTTATTAATTTTAATGTTTTACCTACGTGACTTTACCGAAAAAAACCTAAGAATATGAATCCTTGCAGTCACGAAAGCTTCAAATCTAGAATCAGAGAATAAAGATTTTGATTAGTGCATATTACCATTCTTGATTTGAAGCTTTCGTGACTGCAGGAAGCCATACTCTTTGGTACTTTCGGTAAAGTGACGTAGTTATATTATTTTATTTTATACCTACGTGACTTTACCGAAAGAACCAAAGAGTATGCATATTAGCAGCTTATGACATTGTTTGAAAAGGGGAAAAAAAGTTTCAACAAAAGTTTAAAAGTGCGTAGAGAATGGAGGGATGGATGGATGCGTGCTTAGAATTACAGGGAGATGATGGGCTGGTGGTTGAGGCTGATGAGGAAGTGGTCGGCCAAAGGAGGGAACGGTGCCCGGGGAGATGTCCACAGTGGAGAAGGAGCAGCAATGAGATCAACTCGTGTGTTAGGAGCAAGGTGGGTTGATGGATCCGTGCATACGACGAGGAATGGCAATCTCTCGTCCAGCAGTGGAGATACGAAGTGATTAAAGTATGAATAGGTGCAGAATACAGTGGATAAAGCTGGGCTTGGCATTTGTTAAAAGAAAAATGTTGAAAACAATTAACCAAAAATAAGCTATATAATGCGGTAATATTACAGGTAAATATGAATTTGGTGTCATCTGACAGCAACGTTTGCAAAAAGGATTGATAGTAACCGATTTCTTTAAGTAAGAGAGCCGACTTCTTCCTCGGAATATAGACGAAAGATACGGCCGACATGGCACACATTACAAGTACATTTAGAGGTGATGCTTCAGTGGGCCTAAAGATCTGAAGGAAAGTGACGTGAGCTTCTCTCGGCCTATCAGAGCCAGTACGCATCAGCAGCACTAAACAAATACAGTCACTGTGAAGAAGTTGAAAAATATCCATGCGAGTTGCGTATATTGTACATAGTACAACACGAGATGTAATATTATGTGCCCCAGGACAGTGCACTTCTAAGTTAAACTTGCTTGCGAGAAAATTGCATACTGTGCATATAGCGTAATGTTCTCCGCACGAGAATTACT